ATCATCAATGCAGTTGAAGTCAATTAAATGCGAATTATTAAGGATAACTCGAAAACTACTGGTCAGATCTTGATCAAAATTATATGGGACCACATGAGAAGTACCAGACTTTAAATAAAAAGGAATCATCAAAATCGGTTCACCTAGAAAAAACTACTGAGGTAACACATATAAAAAAATAAATTCAAATGAGAACCTCCTCCTTTTTTTGAAGTCGGTTGAAAATATAATATACAAAAAACATAAGTTTAAAAAATTGATCGTGATATTCACTCTATGAATACGATTATAACCCTTGGGAATGAGGTGAACGCCACCAAGCTCTTTCTTATTTTTATATGTAGTTAATTGCGTAACATAATTTATGATTCCGTTAACTGCTGAACATAGGCTTCCTCAATAGATTGCATAGGGAGCAATTTTCCATAGTTGCCACGCTTGGCAAGCGGGTTGGCAACCGCGGGTCTTATTTTTAGTCGTTATTAGAAAAGACGCTGCTGCATATCTCCTGATTTGTTTCTCTCTGTCGCCTCTTACGACACCCACGGGATGATATGGGGCAGTGGATATTTTTACACCGCCACTACACGGGATACAATCATTTAATGATAAAATTCTGAATTAAAACCTAAAACCACTTACAAAAACGTTAAAAATAAATGCTATCTAAAGTACAAGGTTTATAATTAGGTACTTTATGATTGTTAACTGTAATTTTTCAAAACAATGTGCCACTGGGTTCCTTGTTGGTTCTACCAAGGACAAATGTATTTACCGTGGTAAATTAAATATAAGAATGCCGTTCAATTAGTATTATAATCTATATTAATGGTGTGACTGGGGTGCTTGGTGGGCACCTTAGCCTACTGGCGACCTTAACCATCTAGTTTAGCTACGAATGAATCGAATACACTAAAATTCAGGCAAGTAGTGTGTAGTTTAAGTTTTTTAAGACTTTTAAATAACATTAGCTTTCACTCGAAACTAAACTTTAAAGTTTAGCAGGCTATTCTTAGGTTTACTATCAACACTTACAGTATCCCTAACATAAAGCCAAAATAACACACAAATAAGTTCTGCCGGTCGTTTAAAAAGTACTGCACATGAACCAATTTATTCGTATTAAGGTCAAGTCATTTGAGTGAGAAAATTTGGCACCATATCGTAGCTAACTTTTATCGAAGTTTCTAATTACCGTTCCGAATTTCAAGTTTCATTTCAGCAATTCAATTGAAGGAAGATTTCTTAGAACTTTGACGCGATAAAATTGATGTTTACTTCTTGCCAATAAGTGTTCTTTGTTTTGAAAACGAATAAAATTTAATTTGATTGTGTTCTACTCATACAAGCTAGTAAGTAATAAATAGTAATGACACTAGCATAGACGTGTCCATCCGTTATAGCCTATAAAAGTCCACTGTTGAACATAGGCCTTCCCATAGATTGCCTCATAAAGGTGGGTTTTGCTATAGTTGCCACTCTTGGCAATCGGGTTGGCAACCGCAGTTTCTTATTTTGAGATGTTATCAAGAAGATGCGCTTCCAGTTTCCCTATGTCGCCTTTTACGAAATCCAATTGATGATATGGGGTATTAGAAGTTTACATCGTCTGATGCCTATAACGACACCAACGGAATGATATCAGGTAGAGAAGTATCTACTCAATATCACCCCATGGGTGTTTAAGGGGCAACTGAAGAAAATGAAACAGGCGATCGGCAATAGGATCTTTCTGATAACTATTCTAACTACTCAACATATTGGAGAACTGTTCTTTCCAAAACTCCTGCTACACGTGGTGATATAGACAAATAACGCCCTTCTAAGGCCATCACCACCATCATCCCATATAAGGCAAGCTATGGAAAAGTATATGTCCAGCAGTGAAAATTTTATAGGCTATTTGTAATGAATGAAAATCTAATTAGTTCAATCAGGCTTCTGTCAACACAATTTCATGAATTTTTGCTAAAGTCTTTTTAAATAATTCCTAGTTTCCACTGAATCTTTTGGCGTTCTGCCAGCCAAAGCAAGGATAGAAAATAGTACAAAGTAAAATTATTGTATTTTATTTTAAAATTATAACAAATTGTATAACTATTTACTTTTATAATCCAGTGCTTGACTACTTAATGCACTCTTTTAACTTATAATATTTTCATATTAAATATTCATACTTATAATAAATATTCATAATTAGTTCCCCGCGACTTAGTCCGCATCGATTGGGTTTTATAGGTTTTAATTTTTTCCTTGCGCGCAACTTTGATTTTTTTTTCTAAAATAAATGTAGCCTTAGTTATTTTTTATAACATTACCTATCTGCTAGTAAAAGTAAATATTGGTCCAGTCATTTCGGAGACTAGCCAGAACAAGTAGATAGACAGACACAGCCAAAAATTGCAAAAATTGATTTTTTTGTTATTAGTATCTCATAAACTTTCACATGCATTTAGTAAAAAGCTGTTAATTTTATGTTACAAATAAACAATTCTATTGTATTTATTTGTATAGATAATAATAACAATAATTGTAGTTGAAAAATAAACAATAAAAACTATAATATAATAGGGGAGTAGGACTGTATGAAAATATAAGTTAGTTAAGTTTTAGTATTTTTCTTAATAATTGGAGTTCTTTTTATTATTATGCCCATATGCAGCAAATCCTCCTTAACGGGAGAGATCCATGTACAGTAGTTAGACTCTTAAAAACATAATATGAAGATTAATTTAAAATGTTGTACAAGTACAACTGACTTCAATATAAATTATTAAGAATAATTCAAAAACTATTGGTCAGAGCTTGATGAAATTTATATGGTACCACATGAGAAGCACCAGCTCTTCACCCAGAACAAAGTTATGAGATAATACACATAAAAAATAAACCATTCAGTTGAATTGAGTAGGTACCGTCTCCTTTTTGAAGTCGGTAGAAAAGAAAATAATATACACAAACAAACAATTACAATTCTAAGTAAAAATATGTAATTTATTATCATATGTAAACAATTGAAATTTATTAATAAAATATTTTTTTATGCATGTTTTACATCTTATTCTTAAATTGTTATCCGGATTTGAGCTCTATTCAAAATTTTAAGTTTCCAGCTCATCGGGAAGTTACTTTAATATGAATTACTAAATTTCACTCGGAACAACAGACAAACAAGAAAATGACTTAATAAATATGTGGTAAAATACAATCAATAATTAGAAACAATACAGGATACCTATTAATTGAAACGAGCGTAGGGTTTAATGTAATAGGTGTAAATAATTATTCTCCGTAACGTTATTATTTCAACGAGTGCAATTCATTTAGAGTCTACTCTGGCTTGTGAAGCAATACAACAACAAATTAATTGCCCGGTTAATTTCGTCCGCCTTGCTGTAAGTATGTTGCATAATTGAATGAGAAAATTTGGTTGGCTATTATATTTGCAGTTTATTTCCAGATGGTGTTCCAGATCGTAATGTACCACTATTGGGTTGTGGTCACTCCCATTGTAGGATGCATTGCGAATAATCTTCGGATGATAATTGCAGTACATACGCTTTACGAGGCGTAATTTTGACCTCACATTGAATACTCTTCTCATTTCTGCACCGTTGGCATCACAGTGCCTGCTCTGTTCACTTGATCCTATCCAGTGAAAATCTGGCCAAATCGTCGTCAACCGAGTTCATTCTTATAAGCTCAAGAGAAGAGATGTTGTACCCATTTGCATATTCTCTCACACCTACCACGACGAGCCCACAGAGGAATTGTTCGGATTAATTTCAGCCGCTCTATTTCACCATCGCACATTGTGACAAAATTTGCGATCCCAACCATAATATTTGGATGTTTGGCGGTCCACTACTGTTAGGCGGTCCACCACTGAGTTTCGCTTGTATGTTCGGAAATACGCACACATATTTATTTGTACATTAGGATTAACTCATAAATGATCACAATATATTGTCTCATTAGAAGGATACTGGTACTTAGTTGTAGTATGTGTTACATGGATATCTTTCGCTGATGGGTGCGAAAGCGTTCCCGTGGCCCTGTCCATATCCAACGAAGGAACACAATTACAACAGGTATGCATTTCCCCATGAATAAAGAGGCTTTTCTTTTTAGATACCAGCATGTTAAATTTGTAAACTAGATGGCGCTAGAGACAACTTACGACGCGCCTACATGTTTCATACTTGATTGAATATGGTTTCTGTATTGTTTTTATTATACGCTTCTGATTACACGTACTTGTAGTTTTATTAAATTATCAACCCTAGTGAAGTGATTACTGAGGTCGGTTTGGAACTTGTACATGGTCCATTCCGAGTCGGATTAAATAAAGAGGGCGCTGGTAGTAGCGAAGTTCTCTCCGGCAATTTTTGCATGTACTGCACTGGAAAGTGGTAGCGGATCGTTATCGAAAGTGCACACCGAACGTCATCTGGTGACGTAACGGGTGGCTGTACGTGAAGTTGAAGTACTTCAGTCAGCCGATGAGTGTCATGCAAAATACAAGTGGTCAACGTCAACGGAGCATTTGGCGACGTCAGTAGTGACGGGTTCCAGTCGTGACGTCACAGCCCAGAGGTAGAGCGAGGTACAACTACAATCAACACATTGTGAAGTAAGTGAGCGAATCAGTGATCTACAGTGAAACGTGAGTACATTTTGTTTATTGTGCAAAAAGTTCATCGCCTTAGAATAAATTTGAAGTTTTTCTTGTGACTTAATAAAATAAGGACAGTAAATTTGACTTGGACTTGTAAAATTATAAAAAGTTTCATAAGTAAATAAATATTTGCATGTTCAATTTTAGACTTAGAATAGTTATAAGAAAAGTGAACAGACGGGGAACCTATGCCCGATTTTTCATTTTGTATTTAAATTCAAACACTTAGAAAATTTTCGATATTAATTGTGAATTTACCTGCTTAGTACTAAGTGAGCATTTCGTCTAGTTTTTATTGCAATTTTGTTTACAAATACTTAAAATGGCCGCTTTAATTAAGAGTCAGACAAGTTCTAAAGCTAGTATTGAAAAGTCGTATGAAAACTTTAAGAAATCGCCAAAGGATCGGTTAGCTAAAACGTCTTATCTTCAGACTAGATTAGATATATTAGAAGAACAATGGACATTAGTCACTGAAACTCATAGGAAGCTAAGTATGGAGGGTTCTGATGCTATATTTGAAACAAAGTATTTTAAGGAAGACATTTTTAGTAGTATAGAGGAAATCTACATATTATATAAATCTGATTTAAAAGATGCACTAAGTTTGTTAACGCCTGCTGCAAGCTTACCAAATGAAGCAGCAAAAAATGAGAGTAATGTGAACCTACCCAAAATTTCTATTCCAATTTTTTCTGGAATGTATAATGAATGGCCGACATTTAGGGATATGTATGTATCACTTATTCATACGAATGCTTCACTAGACAATGTTCAAAATATGCATTATTTAAAGGGGCATCTATCGGGTGAAGCGGCGCAGCTTTTGAGACATGTTCCGATTACTGCAGCTAGCTACCAAGACTCATGGCTCCTTTTAAATAATAGATACAACAATAAGAAATATCTTACTAATGGTTTATTAAAGCGTTTTATAAATCAACCTAACATTGGAACCGAGAGCTGCAGTGCCATTAAGGAAATGTTAGACCTAACCAACGATACTATAAATGGTTTGAAAAATTTAGGCATTAACGTCGATACATGGGATGTAATCATAATTTATATTATTAGTACAAAATTAGACAGCGAGTCGCGTAAGCAATGGGAGGCGAAAATAAGTGCTGTGGACGAGTTACCTACTCTTAACCAAATGCGTGAATTCTTAGAATCTAAATTTCGATCACTTGAATTTCTAGACGGTAAACAAAGGCTTAAACCAAATTTTTCAAATCATAAACCAAAGGCAATGCATGCAACCGCGACTGTTTCTAATGTAACACTAGAGAGTTGTATATTCTGTAAACAGAATCATAGGCTATCAAACTATAAAGAATTTGCTAAGACAAATTATGACGCTCGATTTAATTTTGTTCAAACTAATGGTCTCTGTTTTAATTGTTTAGGTTCAAAACATTCTTCGAAAGTTTGTCGCTCACATAAAAAATGTCACATTTGTAAACACAAGCATCACTCATTACTTCATCCTAACCCCAAACCAACCTCAGGTCCGTGCAGTTCGGATTCTCAGAAATCTTTATTGGTGTCAGAAGTCAATGCAATGGTATCTAACGTAAAGGCATCATTAGATAGTTCCGAATCAGCTTCCAATTTTACATCACATTTTTCGAAGGAAACAGCACCTAATCAGATTCTGCTAGCAACGGCTCTTGTTGAATCAAGGGCAAGAAATGGTTATACCCACCTGTTCAGAGCTCTCTTAGACCAGGGCTCCCAGGCGTCTTTCGTGACAGAATCGGCGGTACAATTGCTTGGTTTAAGGAAGATACCAAATAAGAGTATCATATCAGGTCTTGGCGGTGATAATACGAGTGTTATGGCCTCGAAGTACATCGTTATGATGGATATTCAATCACGTCATGATCCAAGTTTCCAAGTAAGTGTACGTGCGCATGTTCTCGGTGCAATTACGAGTCTCCTTCCGTCAGAGAAGGTATTAAATTTTGATTGGCCAGAATTAAACAATATAACTTTGGCTGATCCACAGTTTCACATCCCTAGCAAAATTGATATTTTGCTTGGAGCTGATATTTATGGTGATTTAATAAGAGAAGGATTGATAAAAGGCCCCAGAGGTATGCCAACTGCTCAGAACACAGCTTTAGGATGGATACTATCGGGTCCGACCCATCAAGGTAAGAGCATTCAATCTCAATCAGCACATTGTCATCATAATCTTATTGTAAGTTCTCACTTTCACAATGATGACAATGAATTGCTCAAAAAATTTTGGGAAATTGAAAATTATTTTTTTGATACAAAAATCCTCACTAAAGAAGAACAACTATGTGAAGATTTATATGAACAGACGACCAGACGAGATGCATCCGGTCGGTATATTGTTCGCTTGCCGTTTCGTGAGGACGATCCAAAGTGTAAGTATGGCAATTCAAGAGAAATTGCCATAAAGAGATTTCAACTTCTAGAAAAGCGCTTGAAGAAAGATGCCGAACTCAAGAACAAGTACTCAGAGGTAATTCATGAATACTTGGACCTGGGTCATATGGTGCGTATATCGGACGATGACAAAAGGAAACACGTTTCTGTGTATCTTCCACATCATGCCGTTATACGTGAAGACAAAAGCACAACTAAGGTCAGAGTTGTGTTTGACGCTTTATGCAAGGGTAACAACGGCATTTCCCTCAATGACACTTTGATGATTGGTCCTAAGCTTCAACAAGATTTACGGCACATTATACTGAAGTGGCGTATGCATCCTATATGCTTGAGTGCGGATATAGTTAAAATGTATCGCCAGATAATAGTCGCAGAAGAAGACGTAGACTTTCAGAGGCTTGTGTGGAGAGACAGTCCGGAATCTGAAATGGAAGAATATCGCTTGGAAAGAGTTACTTTCGGCACAGCATCGGCGCCATACCTGGCTGTGAAGACGTTGCAGCGCCTTGCGATCGATGAAGGCAGCGCATATCCTCTTGTGGCTGAAAAGGTTAAAAAGGATTATTATGTAGATGATCTCTTGACATGATGTCAAACTGTTGAAGAAGGAAAGCAAATCTACAAGGAAATGAAAGAACTATTAAGCAAAGGTGGGTTTCAGCTACAGAAATGGGTCACGAATAATACGGAATCAGCAAAAATAGTTATGGAAGAACGTGGAAATGAAGAAGGAAAGATTAATATAAAGATAGATGAGATAGTGAAAGTGCTAGGACTTACCTGGGATAAACAAACCGATTCGTTTCATTACTCGGTGCAACTTACCATGCAAGAAAATCCCATCACAAATAGAAAAGTCATATCAGACATTTCACGTCTTTTCGACATATTAGGATGGGTGGCTCCTTGTGTCATTACAGCCAAGGTGATGATACAGAAGTTGTGGTTGTCTGGGATTGATTGGGATGAAGAGTTGCCAGATGATCTTCTTGAAGAGTGGCTTACTTATCGGTCAGAATTAGCTAACATCCGAAAGGTATACATTCCTCGATGGGTCGAAACAAAAGTTGATGATACTTGCACAGAATTACATGGTTTTAGCGATGCGTCCAATGTTGCATACGCTGCAGTGATTTACGTACGGACTATTGACACAGCTGGTAACATTCATGTGTATCTAGTTGCTGCTAAAACCAAGGTAGCTCCAACTATGCAGGTGTCTATTCCTCGCCTCGAGCTAATGGGAGCCGTTTTATTGGCCAGGTTAGTTACTGACGTGGCAAACATGTTGCATATTAGTCGGGATAAAATTCACGGTTGGACTGATTCCACGGTGGTGTTAGCATGGCTTAGTAGTCACCCCAGCCGCTGGCCAACTTTTATTGGCAATAGAACGTCTGACATTTTATCAAGGCTTGATAACACCCAGTGGTCTCATGTGTCATCGGCGAAAATCCTGCAGACATTGCATCTAGAGGATGTACACCTCTAGAACTTGTACAAAATAGTATGTGGCTGCACGGTCCACCTTGGCTCAGCGAGGCAGAAATTAAATATAAACTATCCAAACGACCCTCCACTAATCTTGAACGCAAAAAACTTAAGGTTCATCTGTCTACGAAATCAACGACTGATGATTTCATCTGGAATCGATTTTCTTCACTTTCACGTCTTGTTCGCGTTGTAGCTTATTGCAGAAGATTTCTTAAACTTAAAAAACCTAAATCAGATCGCAACATTGCTCCTTTTCTAGAAAGCTCTGAGTTAAACGAAGCCCTAAACGTCTGTATCAGAATATGTCAAGTGCAGGAATTAAAGGATAGTCGACTAAAATCACTAGATCCATATCACGATGACAGAGGACTCTTAAGAGTCGGCGGAAGAATCTCAAATGCCAACATTCCTGAATTAGATAAACATCCTATCATTCTTCCACATAAAAGTCATTTTACAGATCTTGTCATTGACGACGCCCACAAAAAGACAATGCATGGCGGTCCATCTCTTGTCATAAATTATTTGCGTTCACGTTACTGGATTATTTCGGCGAAGAGTCGTGTAAAATTGCATGTTCGTAAATGTGTCATCTGCGCGAGACGTGCAGCAATTACAGCAACGCAACTTATGGGTCAGTTACCAGCGTGTCGAATTACTCCAGGAAGACCATTCCTCCGCAGTGGAGTAGATTTTGCTGGACCCATTAATATACGCGTATCAAAGGGACGAGGCAATAAGTCGTATAAGGGCTATATATGTGTTTTTGTGTGCATTGTCACAAAGGCGATGCACCTGGAAGCCATCAGCGACTTAACATCCGAAAGTTTCATTGCCGGTTTTAAAAGGTTTGTAGCCCGTAGAGGTCACGTGAGAGAAATATGGAGCGACAATGGGACTAATTTCGTTGGAGCATCCAAGGAGCTACAAAAATTAGTCACTATAGAACAATCAGCAGTTGCTCTCGAGATTCGAGAATGGTTAAATGATAATGGTGTCTCATGGCATTTCATTCCTCCTCACGCTCCACATTTTGGAGGACTGTGGGAAGCAGGAGTGAAATCCACAAAATATCATCTCAAACGAGTAATCGGGGATTCCACTCTAACTTTTGAGGAAATGATCACAGTGCTGGCACAGGTTGAAGCGTGTCTTAATTCTAGACCATTATCGATCTTAACAGACGATCATAATGAACCTTCACCCCTTACACCAGGTCCTCGTAGGTGAGCCGTTGATAATAGTACCCGAACGTAACTATGAGCAATGCAATATGAGTACTTTAAGACGTTGGCAAATGACACAAAAGATGTTACAAGACTTCTGGCGTAGGTGGTCCAATGAATATTTAGTGCATTGTTTGCAAAGGTACAAATGGACTAAAATTACTCCGGAGCCAAACATCGGTGATATCGTTCTTGTAAAGGAAGATAATCTTCCTCCGGCTCGATGGTTATTTAGGTAGGATAGTAACAAAACATCCAGGTTTGGACGGAATTACTCGAGTGGTGACATTAAAATGTAACGGTTCTGAATTAAAAGACCCATAACAAAACTTTGTATATTACCTGTAACTGTATGATAAGATGTATTTGTTTTTTACACTATTTTATGCTATTATACTATAATGACTTGCTTTTAAGGAATTTTTCATGTTTAATTTTATTTTTGTGTTCATGAATTCTTGTGTAAGGGAGCCCTTGAACTCATGGTGGGCGGTGCTGTGAAGAACGATCACTATCGTTCTTGGTGGGCGGCATGTTAAATTTGTAAACTAGATGGCGCTAGAGACAACTTACGACGCGCCTACATGTTTCATACTTGATTGAATATGGTTTCTGTATTGTTTTTATTATACGCTTCTGATTACACGTACTTGTAGTTTTATTAAATTATCAACCCTAGTGAAGTGATTACTGAGGTCGGTTTGGAACTTGTACACGGATCCGGCTCGAAGGACCAGGCGCGTCGTAAGTTGTCTCTAGCGCCATCTAGTTACAAATTTAACACAGCAGTTAAAGAAAAAATGGCTTATATTTATTATTTATGTATTGTATATATTATTTATGTATTTAGTCTTCATTATAATACATCTTAAGGCGGCTACCCACTTGCCTGCCGCAGAAGCAATCTAGGGTGTAGGAATGGGGATTACCCTTAACTGCCTCTTTAATTGTGATGTGTGTATGCAAGCAGGGGCAATATTCTAAGTCGGCCCTGCAGTGGGGCGGCAGGGACGCGAGACCTTCCTTGCTCCCTAGATCTTAGCTGCCACTGCTACGTGTGTAGCGAAATTGGGGCAATTTCAACCAATTCGTTAGCGACTTTCGCGCGGAGCAAACGAGTGACTACAAGTCACAATGTATCATCATCATCATCATCATCATCATCGTTACAGCCCTCCATAAGTCTACTGATGAACATAGGCCTCCTCCAAGGAATGCCACAAAGCACGGTCCTGCTACAATGTATACCAATAAAGAATGTGAAATATTGACACTGGTGATAGAAGTGTATAAAGAGTGACTTCTTCATTTCTATCACCAGTGTCTAAATCACTTCCCTTCAGCTTTTCGCCCCTTTTGCGGTAGCATCGCAGAAAATACTTTGTTTGAACATTGTAATATTTTTAAACGTGGTAATTAGTTGTTTTATCGATAAATATGGATGTCTATGGGCCACAGTACCCACTTACTATCAGGTGGACTGTGCTCATTTGTCACCCTTATCTAATATATAGAAATTAATATTTTTTTTTTATTTGAAAGCTGGTTATTCTCACGTAGTCATATACAAATTTTATTAAGGTCTGACTAGTGGTTTTTGAGTTATCTTTAGTAATATAATTTGAAGTCGGTTGCACAATTTTTTTAAATCTTCCACCTGTTCAACAAATTTGATTTTGAAATACCTCAAGCTGGATCTGCGTCATCCCCCATTTACTGCGACGTGGTTTTGTCACAGCTCAGCCAGTACAAATTAGTTTTTTTTAGTAGAATACAAAAGGCAAAAATCATTATCATCATCATTACAGCCCTTCACAAGTCCACTGCTAAACATTCGCCTCCCATAAAGAATGCCACAAGCACGATCCTGAGTCACCTGCATCGGCTTCCCGCATGTCTTACCAGGTCGTCACTTTATGGGGGGGAGGGGGGGGCACCGTACACTTTGGATACTGGTACGAGGCTGCCGCTCCAGAACCTTTCTTCCCTATAGAAAGTCAATAGTAATAAGTAAATAAAAATATAATAAAACGGTTATGAAGCACGTTGTTTGAACTATATATTTTAAAATATTGCACATTATCGACAAAGTAGAACCTCACTACTCTGGTAAATGGATACCGCGATACTTACCAGTAACTTATTCAAATTGCATTTACGATAGCAGCGACTGCGGAGTTTTATAGTGCGAACACGTTAACGGTTTCGAATTTCTTATACCTGTATTTGCATTTACGACTTGGCGACTGTTAAATGTAATAGTGTTTCATTCTTTCGACAAAGATATATGATATGATTCAACAGCCAATGCTTTTATACAAACTTTTTCTAGAAAACGGCTGCAGAATATAGTCGTAAGCCACCTCGCATCCATTTACATAACAAATTCTAAATTAAAGTGTCCCCCAGCGTCTGTATGTTCGCGCTTATTTAAAAACCCCACTACGGGGATTTTTTTTGGTTTTCACCAATAGATTTAGTTCCAAGTAAGTTTTGTATTCATTTATCAATCATGTGTGTAAATTAGCTAATGTTATGGTGACATATGTCAAATAATTCGGGCAAAATCGTGTACCCTGAGAGCTTCCATGACGTGTACTGCGTAAATCCATACAATTATATGAAAACAATACGAGGTAAAGTTTTCTTCACAAAGTGATTTTAAAAAAGTCCGCATAGATGATAATTAAATGCAATGAACTAGAAATAACAAAAAAAAAAATACCCGTTCAAGAACTTTACGCTATTTTATATATACATGGTATTGTCACGCTGCAGTTATATGTTGGTTGCAGCAGTAATGGGTCGGCTCGACCAAAAAAGGATCACGGTTTCATAAAACACTAGCAATAGTAAAATAACGACTAAA